TTTTTATTATTTTTTTAAAGACAAGTACCGGAAAAGTATTTAGCGTGATTGCTTCATTTGAAAATGACGTGGAAATAACACTGTACAAACACAGAGGATTATTAAACTTTGTGGCACGGAAATTCTCCTAGTATCTGCTGGCCCTGGATCTTTAGAAACTCTTAACTTTGAAGCCTTCTGCGCTAGACCGGGAATCCTGGCATGGAGCTGCAGGGGTCCCAGTGCGTTCACCTCTGTCATCTGTGGATGTAAATGATTATGAATCACAGTAGTGACTGCAGTGAAATCTTCTTGATCTTAAATCATACACGAATGGTGCTATTAACATTGCTAAAATCAACGTGTGACGTGTGTTGTGGAAGAAACCTGTAAGTATGGGTGGGTGGGGATATTTTATCAGACCATTTTGTAAATAAAGGCCGAATTTGACTTGTGTTGAAGATTCTTACATGAGTAACCTTGTTTGTTTAGTTTTGCACCTATAAAACTGTACTACTGTTTGTTGGTTGAAGAGTAGCAGATTGAAATATAAGAACCCAGAGTAGACTTAAAATTGTGGAAGTTAGAATCTGATTTATAAGTGGATTTTTAAGTACATCAGTTCTTTTTCAAAATTGAGCTGGACACAGTTGGCATTGTTAGTATGTCATTAAAGCCAGGTTTATCCCTAGTCTCAATCACACTAAAAGGAGAAAGCTTGCCCCTGATCACAATCATCCCGTGCAGTGCAGCCAAAGTGTCCTCCAAATCTGCATTTGGACCATTGTAGGATACAAGCAGCTCTGTCGCGCATGCATTAGTAGTGAAGGATGGGTGTCTGTGATGCAGCACTTAAGTTTTTGGTACTTTGCTGCTGTACTCTATGGCAAATCTCATGTCATTCTGTTAATTGGATTAGCTTATTTTGCGCATCTAATGTGATATAAGAACTTTTTGTAACCTAATTTAGATATCACCAACTGACATTCATCTTGTGGAAGCTAAAGAGAACTTGGATCAGTAAATGGTAGCCATATTTCTTTTAAATTATCTACCCTAAATTATATTTACCCTTACCCCTAAGCATTTTTTGAATGTTGCTATTTTATTTCCTGTCATTTCAAATCATTATTTTACCAAGAGTACATTATTCTATTAGGTTTTTTATGGTTTATTTGGTTTTAACCAAAACTGACCTATAAATTAAATTATTGCTGAGTGTCACATGTTTTCAATGTGTTTTTCTATCATACTCCATCAAATGTTTGTTCTGTCAAGACATTTGGCAGCTTACACAACAAGTTGGATAATTAATGTCAGAAGGTCATATACCTTTCCTTAGTTAAGAAATTAAGTTTAGCAGCAAAAGATTAAGGTAATATTTTTGTTTCTGTTTTACATGGAGATCTTCATATGACTTAGTTAAGATCCTCTAGTTCAGAATTAGCTCACATTGCACAAAATAAATTGCTTATTTTAAGCTAAAATGCTGATGCTACCAAACCAGTGGGTAAAGACCTGAGAACTTTGCACATAATCAATCATAGTCTTTTTAAAACATTTTGTAAATATTTATTTAGACAGTGAGTTGGACTAGAATTTGATAATTTCTTGTCTTTATTTAAATTTTTGATGATTTTTTTGGTCCTTTCAAATCATATTGTGTCTTGATACATGCTATGTATCTGTCAGTGCATGTGTTTAATTTACATGAGTTTGTGGTGGTGAATTTAAAGATTGAATGTTAAAATACCTGTTACATGCTATGAAGAAATGATAATTCCAGATTGTATGGGAAAGAAGAAACTGTTACTTTGAAAGTATATTCTACCTATAATCTATGGACATCACACACAGTGATCAAGAAGTGGTGATAAAGCTGTCTAGTGATGGCTTAAACGTGGACATTTACAAGCAAACCTGTATTCCAGGAACAAAATCAAGGTTCTTTTAATCTCTTGCTCATATACAGAGAAGTAGAAGTTTGGTGAGCATGGTTTTAAGTTGGGGAGGAGAGTTTTAACCTATTCCCCCTTATGTACATCATATAATTCTGCCTCTTGCCAAATGCTGCAGAATGGGCCTTTGTTTTTCACCTCCTTTGTTGACTGTATGCGGTAATTTTGTTTTACCAAAAAAAAGTGTGTAGGCACACTACTTAAAAGCAAATCAGTGTTGTGAACTTAAAAGTACAATTTCAAAGGTCATTACCAACAGCAACATTTATCTTAGGAAAAACATGCTATGTAACATTGCTATTTTCATATGTTTGGATATTGTTAGTCCTATTAAATGTCATACAGCCACTGAATTGCCTTTACTGTTTATACCTTAAAAGTCTCAAGGTGACAGTTGTCATTTTCTGTCTTTGTTTCCATTGAGGACACTTGGTTGCAAGGGAGCAGAATTCCTTCAGCCGCATTGCCTGGATTTTCCCTAATAGTTGTACTAAAAGCTGTAAAGCTGCTATCTGAATCTGACTCCTCATGTTCGTGTGTTCAGTGACAATGACGTATGCAACCTCTTCTCATTGACATGTGACGGGATGAGAAAAATTTGACATTTTCTGTGGTTAAATTAAGACACCTTTTGCTTTTAGGTTTAGGATAAAATACTAAGATACTTGGGTGTTCACCCTGTCTAGTTTGACTTGGAGTAAACAAGACAGCGGGGAAAAGGGTTGACTGGCTTTTTCAGTGTTTTGGCTTTTGATTTGTTTTAGTTTTTCCCTAACGGGTGACAGTGCTGTTTGCTATCAAATTTTACACATAGGGCTATGAAACTGTATATCTCAACTGCAAATCATTATCTATTATTTAAAGCCAACAAAACAGTGTAACAGTTTTAAGTTCAATAATGTTAAGTATTGTATAGAAATATATTGGAGGCAAAGTCCAATTGATGACAATGGTGTATATGTTACTGATGATGTAAATTATTTTTAATAAAGAAAATTGTATTATCACAGTTGGCTCTCATTACGTTTTTAGCAGTGACTTGAAAATGACACACAGTGCCATCCAGAAACTTCTCATCCAATACATTATGTAAGTGTTCAGAGGTCATGTTGTTGCCTGTGGCTGCCATATAAATCCGTGGTTCTCATGCTGTGTCTACCTGCTCCTTTTCCACTCAAAGGCTAATGAGAAAAATCAGTGTAAAGGTCTGGGATAGGATAGCCTGGCAACAGATAAAGGTGAATTTCAGAATTGTTCCAACAGGTACTTAGATTTATAGAATTGGTTTAAAGGTTTTTGTGGGGGTTTTTTTCCATTTCAAAACTGATTAATAGAAAAAAAAACATTAATAGGACATTTGCAATAATCCATTGTACATTGTTATCTTCTTAGTGGTTATCCATAGTACAAGAAGCAGACAGGATTTCCTGTCCAAACACTATTAGTACACTTCTTCTCATTGAATTAAGCAAAAGTAGCTGTATATTTATCCTATTTTGTATATACAAATACAAAGTGATCTTTCCTTTGTATCCTTTTTTTTTTTGTCCTGTCAGAGGTGGATATTCTATTGGCATCTAAATACTATAGGTGTTTGAATTCAGCTAAACAATCTAACACTGTCTAGCAGTCTATAATATTAGTGGGTTATCCTCAGAAGTTATTGACTTGAGCCTTTTACAGCCCATCTTATTAATATGGCTTTACTTTATATACCTCGTTTTTATACTTTTCTGCTGGATGGTTAAGACCAAGATAAAGCAAGACCTATATAATAAGAAATGTAACTTTTGTATCTGATAAGGTCATCCAAGTTCTCTCAGGATTTATCCTGTAGCCCTGTACCGCACTTTGTAGATCCTTTGTCAGTGTCAACCATGAGGATGAGTCACGGCCATTGCTTGACCAATTTGCTCTCTGTGAAAGCCTGAGAAAATGTTTTTTCTCTCCATGTGACTCTCCCCAGGCACGCTCTACATCATCGATCACATTCCTCTGTAGCTCCATAATCTTGATCAGAAAATTTGGAGCACAACTGAGTAACATGTTGTTACAGTACAGGTTCTATGTCCGAAGTCTTCACTGACTTTGAAAGGCTAGGGCCAAAATGTTGGCTGATCTTGCAGCCCTTCCTTTTCTCCAATTTTGAACTGCTAACTTAGGTTGTTAACCCTCCAGAAGAGAAGCTTATTATTAACCTGCAATATATGCATTTTGGTTTCCCTATCTGTCTAAATATCAAAGATCTTTGGCATATCATGGAACAGGTATTTTCCATCAAATACTGATATGTTGAACTTTTAAGTCCTTACAGAATATGAAGGAAAAATAATTTTATAAAAGTCGAAATAAGCATTAACATTTTTACAAAGAAATTTAGAAATCTAACCATATACAGAATTGTAACAGGACAGACCAGTGACATTTTTTCCCTTACTGTTGTTTTTTGTTTTTTTCAATCGGTTTAAAGTTGAGACTAAAGAATTCTCAGCAGGATCCCGTGTATAAGTAACCTCGCTTAATTGGAAAGGACAGCCTTTTTACACTCCAGAGACAGACTGCAGCTACAAGCAACTGCCTAGGAGCCGGCTGGCCAAGGCCTGGTGGAGGCTCTGTCTTCCAGGCTTCATTCCCCTAACTCTGCAGGAAGGGCAGGTGTCTTCTTGGAAAAAAACATTTCCAGATCCAACACCTGGGAGAGGTGGCCAGGCCGATTCTGGACATGATGGCCAGGAGGGGCTCATGCCTCCCTCAGGCCACCTTTTGGAAAAGGCACTCTTAACTTACACGCTTCCAGCAAGTGGTGGGAAAGAGGGTGAGTAAAGAAAACAAGCGTTGGACTGGATGACTTGGGACTTGGACTTCTCAGAAATTGTCCAAGCAACCTCGCGATCACGTGGATGGGGCGGAACTGAGGTGCCTTATAGGGACCTAGCTCCTGCTGAATGGCTACTCACATCGGGTGGGGCCTTGGAGAGCCAATCAGAAACGAGTTCTAGTTATGTAAAGCACCTTGTTTTTTTTTTTAAAGGAAAGGCTGGACTTAACGTGAAGGCGCCAGAATTGAAGAACGCTAGGCAATCACAAGCCGGATCTCCAATTTCCTGTTCAGAGGCCCGTTGGCTGGGCAAAGTCTAGGGAGCCTGGCCGAGCCACGCCTTCTAGTAGTCTGCGCTGACTGGGCAGCGAGGAGTGGGAATAGCCAGTCAGGAGTCGGTCACGCGGGTGCTGAAGGGGCGGACCCAGCTGCTGCAGCTCGGGGTCCGTTTCCCGGGACTGTCCTCCGGCTGGGCCGCGAGAGTAACGAGGGTGAGCTCGACGACGTGGGATTGATTGTGCAGTGAGCAGAGAAGGGTGCAGAGGCCAGGCTGAGGTGGGCTGGGCCGGGCCGGGTCTGAGACGCCCTAGGGCATGGGGGTGCCATCTGGGGTGGGGATCCTGCCTGTGATCTTGTCCTAATTACGGTAGCCTTGAGGGGGATGCGCGGTCCCCTCTCCTGTTTTCACCCGGGCTGAGATGCCAGGATGCCCCTCTCCCGAGCCCGGGCATGAAGAGTGACAGAAAAGTGCACTGAGGGAACCATTTCTGCACATCCCCTGTCCTCATTAATATCCTAACTATGAACCTGACCTGTGTGCCCTCTTCCTAGCCACTTATTTTCCTGCTGTTTTGGTCAGCAACCCCTAGGAATCCTGCTGGTTCACAGCTTTTTGTCTTTCACTGAACATCAAGCGCCTGCTGCATCCAGTCGTGCATTATTACTGTTTGCAAATTACATTCCAGGTTCCCGACGTTATCTCCTTTGGAGTGAAGGCAAACCTGGTTCAGTATTTACTATTCACTAAGGCACCAGCAGGGTGCTGAGACGCCATCCCCTAATCTCCAACCCTGGAAGGACAGAAGTTTGCTGGAGAAAGGGAGACTGGAAAGAATGGTTGAGGCAAAGGTTATAGGACTTTGTTACTCCCTTCAGGGAGAAAGAGGAATCAAGGCTGATTCCTGTTTCTAGTCTCAAGTAACCTTGTGCAAAGGGCAGCGTTTAAGGCCCAGCCTTCTGTTTCTGGGACAGAAAGTGTGAGATTCTGGTACAGACCTTCAGGTTTCCTGAATGTGCTTTCTCCAGGCACCCAGTAAACTGAAGATCAACAGCCCTCGCTTAGGGCTTGGATTCCCCTTCTCCCACATGCGGGACAGCTTTAGTGAGGGAAATGTCTGTAGCAAGCACGTTTCTTTCTATTTTTGTTTACTTTCAGGCACAGAGGGAAATCTGTGCCGTTTCTTCCAAGATTTGGAGTCCTTCCTGCAGGAAGAAAAAAGGCAAACTCAGAGCGAAAGAATTTCAGCATAGTAGATTTTCTGGGGCAATCCAGTCCAGCTATTTTGTTTTATTTTATTTTATTTTATTTTGCGGAACCATCTCCCCAGCCTCAAGTTCAGCTCTTTTAAAAGTCTGCAATTCGAAGGTCAGGTGGGAGACCTGGGTCTGGAATAGGACTTCTTAGTGCACCAGCCCTGCCAGCAATGCCTCACACTGCTTTACAACCCAGCCTTCTTCAGAGAGATGTCTAAAAGCCCCCTTCGCAGATGTTACAGAAGCATTTGCTGGAGCAGTAGAGAGCTGGCCTTTCTCAGCTGCCTTTCAGATTCAAGAATTTATAATTTAGGGCCAGGGATATGCAGGGATGCAGCTCCTGCCTGGCAAGTGCGAGGTCCCGAGTTCAATTCTCAGTACGCAAAAACAATAAGAAAAATTTATAATTCATATTAAATTCAGAGTTACTGCGACATCCTTAACACTTTGGGAATTGGAAAATTACTCCAGCATTTCACTGTGTAGTTAACATTGCCGTTCCTATTACACTCAGAATCCAGCCTTACACCAGTGTTTGTCTCCAGAAGAATGTTTACATATCCTTTAAAGTCTTAAACTCAGAAAAACAATGCAGCATATGTTGGATCCCAAAAGGTTCAGGTGCAAAAAAATTTTGAAATCACATGTAGGCTTTGTTATAAGGTCTTTAATGGACCAAATCTCAACAGCTTTATTTCCTTCTAAAAGGAAATCCTGTGGTAAACAAGAGATGTGATTCAGGTGTGCAGTGGTTCGGTGCTGTTTGGTCAGAGGGATGGCTTCGGGGGGACAGATAAGGAAAGGCCCTGGGGATTGGTGACATTGGGGGCTTTTACCCTTATTGTCATTTGAATTGTCAGACTGAGTAGTCTTGGAGCTAATGCAGAGAAAAGAGCCCAGATACCTCTGGAGTTCCTTTCCCTTAGCAGAGTAGGTGGTCTTCCTGTGACCGGACTGGGATGACTGGATAGTAGCAGGCCTGGCTATGATGCACATGCTCTGAGACATTCTGAAACCTGCCCTCCTTGTCCTGGCTTGTCTTTCACTAGGACATTTATTCTTTTAAAAGTAAAATTTACATTCATTGAGATGGACAGATGTTACATTCACTTCAGTTTTAAGCTAGGTTTTTAGGGGAGGGAGTTTGGTTTTTTGTCTTTTTGAGACAGGGTCTTGCTGTGCAGTTCAGGATGAGCTCACTTTGTATCCCAGGCTGATCTCAAACTTGATCCTCCTGCCTCAGCTTTGGGTGCTGGGATTACAGGCATGCATCACCATGCCTAGCTGTTGTTAAACTAGGTTTTGGCAAATGTATGCACCCATGCAATGAAAGCCTTAACAAGATACAGGGCTGGGGATGTGATTGAGGAGTAGAATGCCTGCCTCACAGATGTGCATTTGGCCTCCCAAGACTGCCAAAAATGATTAAGACATGGAACAATTTACTCACAAAAAGTTCCCTCTGCGTGGGAGGCTGAGACACAAAGATTGCAAGCTGCCTGGGATACCTAGTAATACTCTGTCAAAAAAAAAAGGGGGGGGGGCTGGTGAGATGGCTCAGTGGTCTAAAGCACCTACTTAGATCAAGCTTAGCAAAACAGCACAGGGACTGCAGTTCAATCCCCCAGCACCACATGCCAGCCAGCCTCGCCCCCTGGTGGGCTGAGCTGGCCACACACACACACACACACACACACATAAATAAATAAAACATTTTTTTAAAAAAAAGTTCCCTTTTGATGCCTTCCTGCAAGGAGCCCCAGCTGTTCTGCTTGCTTGCTTGCTCACTTGCTTCCTTTTTACTCCTTCTGTGACACTGACATTTGAACATAGGCTACCCTAAGCTACATTCCCCAGTCCTTTAGTTTTTTTGTTCTTATTTTGGGATTTTGGTTTGGTTTTGATTTCTTTGAAGAAATGAGAGTCTCATTGTATAGTTCAGACTGGCCTGGGCATGAACTCATTGTGGAGCCCAAAGTGGCCTTTCAACTTACAGTGATCCTCCCCCTTCAGCCTTGAGTGTTGGGCTTACAGGCGTGTACCATCATGCCCAGCCTGTTTATTTAGTTATTTTGAGACAGGGTCTTCCTACACTGCTAGTCAGCCCTGGGTGGCCTAGAATTTTTGATTCTCCTACTGTTGCAGACACTGTAGCAAGCTGGATGGAAAACACTTTGCACCAGGGAGTAGGAAGGCAACTTTTTTTTTTTAACTTTATAAAGATGTTTATTTCACTTCAAATGCACACCTTGGGGCTGGGTGAGATAGCTCAGCGATCTAAAGCACCTGCTTAGGCAAGTTTAGGCAAGTACAGGGACTGTGGTTCGATCCCTAGCACCACATGCCAGCCCTGCCCCCAGGGAGGGCTGGTGGGTCACACACACAACAAAAAAATGCATACCTTCTCAGATTAAAAACATTAGAGACAGTGGTTTATGCTTTAAAAGTAGACCATCCCCCTAGTTCCATTAAAAATAATGTATATACAAGCAATCTGTGTATCTTTCTGGTGAATTCACATAATACTTTAGTTCCCTGATCTTTTGACCTTATCCTGGGATTATTTATTTATTTATTTATTCTTAATCAGCAGGCCAATGTGGGATCTCTCCCTGAAAACATTAGTATTGGCTTAAAGTAAAACAGCAATGCACATACTTTTTATAAGCAGGAAATAAAACAATATTTTTATTTCCTGCTGATAAAGAGTATGTTAGTCTATAATTGGTTCGATATATTTAGTCATATGTTGTCAGGCACGTGTGTCCAGGGCAAGTTTAATTAAAGGGAGCTATTTATTATGGAGCAGGAGGGTCTGGGGTAGGGGGGAGTCCAGCTCCAGGTCAAGAGGGCAGAATTTAGTAGGAGCATGATAGGGTTGACTTGTGCCTTGAGGCAGACCAGCAAAACAAAGTATTTGTGTAGGCTGTTGTGCATCTGGATAGAGCTGAGTCCATTGTCTCTGAGTTGCAGCTGGGTAGTCAAGGCCAACTGAGTCTGACAGCCCAATTAGGAAGCTGTAGTTTTAAATTTTTCACGCTACACTACCTGAGCCTGCCAAGTGCTGGGATTACAGATGTGCACCACTGTACCCTGCAGAGATTTATTTTAGTGGGATGGTACTAGGGTTGGACCCAGGCTCTTCATACTGAGCTACATCCTGGGCCAATTTTTAATTCTTACTGTGAGACAGGATTTTACTAAGTCTCTTAAATTGCCCAGGCTGGACTCCAGATTGCAGTCTCCCTGCCTCAGACCCAGAATGCTGGGACTACAGGCATGCATCAAACATACCTGGCTAAGATATGTTTGATGTAACTATATCCAGTCGGGTGCAGGGCATATACCTGTTATCCCAGCACTTGGGAGGCTGAGGCTGCATTGTGAGTTCAAGGCTAGCCTGAATGTGTCTCAAAAACAAAAACATCAGAAAATGGAAAAAAAATGTTCAGATGAGAAGGGAAATGAGAAGAGAAAGGAAAGAAAGGTGGGGGGAGTTAAAAAAAAAAAAAAAAACTACACTCCTGAACAAAGACCAAAATCATACCCTAAAAGACAACTCACCCCAAGATATTGTAAGTCATATACAACTTGGTATGAAAGAAAGATCAAAAGAAAACTATTTGAGAAAAGAAGAATGTAAAATTGTAAAAACCTTAGGGATTTGGTTCCTGAAGGATACTTAGGCCCTACATTTCCTGGGTGCCCAAGAAACAGGCCAGGCGTGCGGAGCCAAAGTGTAACTCCCACAGGGATGAAAGCGGGCTTCCCTCTCTGTCTCTCCCAGTGGACTCAAAAGCCGGTTTGAAATCCATCTTCCTTCAGCAGCCATCATTCTGTCCCTTCCACTGTCTGCCACATGGTTTTGGCAGGTATTAAATTTGTATTGGGAGCCGCTGAAGCTGAAATTGTTCCTGTGTGGGAGTGTAGGATGAGGCCTCATTGCCTACGGCAGTCAAGCTACCTCAGTCTTGAGAAAAACATTTTGCCTGGACATTGTGGGCTATTAGTCACCAGGCAAATTTGTGTCTTGCAACTTCATAAAGGTATAAAGAAAGAAGGCCCTTATTGTTGTTCTGGGGTCTTCTCACCTACCAGGCAGATGGGCTACCACCTGACCCAGCTCTTGTCTTCTGGTCTATCTTTTCCTTATTCCCGCTGCCCCTTCTCCCCAGGGTACAACAGATCACATCAAGAGACCAACAGATACCCTACAAATTTGTAGGTTGCAAACTGAAGATCTAACTTAAGTTTTTGTAACTGCTGGTAGATTTATTTTAAGCCCCTGTCCCTCTGTGCAGCAGAAAATGTATTGTTTATGGTAAATCTGGTCAATGCAGTGAGAATCCAGTCATTCCAGATTTGAACTTAGTTAATTCAAGGTTTTCTTCAGCATCCCACAAGTTTGTTGCCTACTGCTTTATATCAGCATGTTGAGTCCTTTTCTTTTTATTGATTGGTTGATTTTTTAAAAAAAAATAATTTTATTGAGAAACAAATAACAATGAGACAGTTCCACAACCCATTCCTAGCACAGTTTCGGTAATTAATACATTGCATATTGTTGTCTTAGTGGTTATTCATTTTACAAGATGCAGACATGATATTCTGTCCACAAATACTATTAGAACAAATCTCTAGTCAGTGATCCGAGAGAATGCAGCTGTGTATCTATCTTAACTATTTTGAACATACAGATACAAAATGGTCCTTCATTTGCATCCCCCTTTTTTGTTTAGTTTTGTCAGAGAAGGGTATTCCATTGTCATTTAAATATTGTAGGCACGTGAATTCAGCAAAATATTCCAATATAGTCCCATAGTCCATAATACTAGTGGGTTTTCCGTAAGACTGGTGAGGACAGAAGTTGTTAACTTGGCCGGGAGGATGGCTCAGTGGAATAAATGCTTGCTTGCAAAGCACCAATGCCTGAGTTTAATCCCTGCAGGTCCCTTTCTGTAACTTCACATTTGTGACTCTTACAATTGTATTTCAGTTATTGTGCCTAAAAACCCCTTATGCCTTGTACATAAATGCATACTTTCCTCCTTGCTGTCTGTGATCCAGCTCTGCTGACTCCCAACGACAGTGGCCTTATTGATATATAAAAGTTACATGACATGTTCACCAGCTCCAGAGCATTTGTACTTGCTGTTCCTTCTTCCAGGAACATTTTCCCTATAAATTCTTCCTTCCCTCATTTCTCTAGTCCTCTCCATCCAGTGATCTTGGTGGGAACCTCCAAAATGATACAGGAGAAAAACTGATCTCGGGTGGGTGACCTCCAAACCATATAAGGAACTTCCAAATGACATAGGGAAAAACAATCTCTTGACCTGACCTGTACTAGTTTGTGTTCTCTAAAGCTGAAGAATGAATTTTAGGAATAAACGGAGGTTATGAGCAGAATATATTTATTGAGGGAAAGAAAGCTCCTGTTTCAGAGAGGGACAGGAGGGGGGCCCAAATGGGTAGTTCCTCTGATTGGTTGATTTTTTTAAAAATGAAAAGAAAGCCTTTATACTGAGCTATATCCACAGCCTTTTTTATTTTTTATTTTAGGTAAGGTCTCACTAAGTTGCTAAATTGCCCAGGCTGGACTCATACTGGGCCATCTGCCTGCCTTGGCCTCCCCAAGGATTGGGATTACAGGCATGCACCACCACGCCTAGCTTCTTTAAATGTTTTTGTTGTTACAGTGGCTTTTTAATGGTTGCAGAACACAGGCCTTACTTGTCCACGCCTTCATAATTTGAAGTACGTGGGATAAGCCAAATGGGATCTGTATAATTTAGCAAAATTCACTAGAAAACATTGCCATATTTAGATTTGTCTTTTTAACCCAGGACTGGTGGTAAGAGGATGAAAGGACATGACCATGGCTTAGGAGCCTCAAGAACCAGGTCTTGCTGGAAGGGTACTTTGGTCATTTAATTCCTAGCGCCTGAACTTCCCTGTAAAGGCCGAGAGGAGGGGCAGAATTGGGTTCAGTGACCCCAGTGTGCTTTCCTGGCCTGTGCTTTCTCCTAGGACTTGGTCTTCAGGTTAGGAGATAAGTTTTAATATGATTCATGGTATTATATAAGGATTTTTAGTCCCCTACCAAAATAACTACTTTCTTTTTTTGTGGTGGTAGGGTCAAACACAGTTTCTCCTGTCTACTGGTCAAACACACAGCTGTACTCCTGTCCCCCAACCTCTTTTGGGGGTATGGTGGTGAGGATAAGTAGGTTTGAGACAGGCTCTTAGTACAGTGTAGTCCAGACTGACTTTGAACTCACTCAAATTTTGGCAATCGTCCTGCCTCAGCCTTCCAAGGGTGGGGATTATAGGCATGCGCCACCATACCTGGCGTGGCCCCAGCACTTCTTGATCTCTGATTTGATTTGTTTAGCTTTATGAGTAAAAATAATCAAAAGAAATATTGAACCAAGTTAAAGCAACATTCTTGGGCTGTCTGCGGAAAGCATTGAAGTAAGTCTCCCCTCTGTGTCCCCTTTCTGCTTGCTTGTTCCTCAGACCCAATGGCGAGTGGAGCCAGTCAGCAAACACAGGCTCTGACCAAACCTGCTTTCACAGAGGCCCAGGCCTCTGCGTTGGTGGAATCAGTGTTTGGGTTCAAAGTGTCAAAGATCCAGCCACTTCCGAGCTATGATGACCAAAACTTTCACGTTCACATCTCAAGAACTGAAGATGCTGCGGATGACCCCACTGAATGCGTTCTCAAAATAAGCAACACTGAGACCAGCAAAAACCCAGACCTTATTGAAGTGCAGAACGGTGTCATCACGTTTCTGAAGGCAGCTGGGTTTCCAACCGCGTCCCTGTGCCACACCAAAGAGGATAACTTGACCTCTCTGGTGTCCATAGGTGAGACACGCCGATTCTCCCGCACTCCTGCACTGGGGCTCCAAGTGGAAATGCAGTGTTGAGCATAAGCTCGCCATTCCAGGCGGAGCTGCATTATTTTCCCAGTATTTTGGAAAAGTCACCCATCACCAACATGGAGATTGGGCCTCTGGTTTGGAAGTGGTTGGAGCTGGCATTGGGTAACTTTTCTGCTTAGAAATCTCTGATGGGGAGAATATTTTTGTTCTTATTTAACCAGAAATATAATCCACCCCTCCCCACTTTTCTTTTCAGTGCTGAGTTGAACCTAGGGGCTTTCACATGCAGGGGCACCACCACGGAGCCTAACCCTGACCCCAATTAAACATTTTCAATTAAACATCTCCATCCATAAGAATAGCTATAGATTCTGGCACTAGGCTATAGGAGAAAGAGTGAACACAAGACCAGATGTGAGAAATTGTAGATCTAACTCGGTCGTTGGGCACCCACTTCATTCCCAAGCTGTTCTCAAATGTGAGGTTTGGTCCCCCTAACCTCTCAGGGACTAATGCTAAAATGTACCTAATCCAGCAAGGGGCAGCTTGAAATCTGCATTTTGGAATTTTTTGAAGTTTGAAATCTTGATTGTCTTTTTTCTCCATTGTCCATCCACGAGGAGAGGGGCTTGACACGGAGTCTTGCTATGTATTTTGGGCTGGTTTTGAACTCCGTCTAGCTCAGGCTGGCCTTGAACTCATGGTGATCCTCCTGCTTCAGCCTCCCAAGAGTTGGGATTACAGGTGTGTGCCATCATACCTGGTTGCTGTCCATCCATTTTTATTTTGCATGAGTCCAAGTAGCTGAGCCCAATGTAGTCTCTGACGAACAGATGTCCTGTCTCACACATACAGGTTGTACTTCAGTTTACCCCAGGGAAGCTTTATTTATTTAGGTTTCTTGAGACAGGGTCCCACTGTGTAGCTCAAGCTGACCTCAGACTCACTATGTAGTCCAGGCTGGCCTCAGACTTGGAGTTCTCTTGCCTCAGCCTCCTGAGTACTGAGATTAAGTGTGTGCAACACCATGCCCAGCTGGAATAGTCATTTCTTTCAAGCATAGACTTATTAAAGACTGTGCGTCTGAGGGATTTGTCTGCTATAGTAGAAATTTCCCTTTAGAACTGAGGCCCAAGGAGCTGGGCCTGTACTTTGTTGGCTGTAAATGGCAGGTACAGCGTTCTTGAGATTTGTTGCCTGTTCATCAGCTCAGCCCTGCTTCATACAGTGCTGCAGAGTAGTTTTTGTATTTTGGTTGATTGATTGATTTTTGATCTTTTTGAGACAGGGTCTCACTATGTAGTTCAGGCTGGCCTTGAGCTCACTTTGTAGATCGGACTGGTCTTGAATTCACAGCGATCCTCTTGCCTCAGCCTCCTGAGTACTGGGATTACAGGCTTACAGAGTAGTTTTTGGTATGCCCATTTTTTTCCTCTTCTAATTTTAATAGTGATGACAAAGGCAGGATAGTTTTCAGATTGTTTTGTTTCTCTTTTTAGAGAATAGTTGAGAATGCCATGTATCATTGTACCCATCTAGATACCGGCTCGGGAACCAGAAGCCACTTGCTGAGGCTGCTGACGTTCCTTCCGGGCTGCCCCGTAGCGCAGATTCCCATCAGCCCCCAGCTGTTATATGAAATTGGAAGGCTGGCTGCCAAGTTGGATAAGACACTGGAGGTAAGAGTTGGGTTTTATTTTGTTTGTAAGGGATTTTTGTGCATCTGATATTTGGAGTAACATCAGGAGCAGATGCTTTTCCTACATATGGTGTTTCCTAACATACGAGGAGAAGGAAATGAGCTGCTGGTAATGTGTTTTAGGACAGCAAGTCTCCTGCCCCAGTCTGTGCTTTACTCATAGGTTGGTTTGCAAGGTTACCTAAGTTTTAGAAACTCGAAATCTTCTTTGTATCTGTCATGAAAAATAGTTTCTACTCACAAATTGGAACCTGAAGTTTTCATTCACATGAGGCATAGTCTGCTGTAGCTACGCCATAAACCGATTAGCGGGGTTCAGAGTATAGCTCAGGGGCACCTTTGGCAGGTACAGTACCCCGGCTTCAATTGCCAGTATGGAAAAATGAAGGAGGAAGAAGACTTGTGTTAACTATATTTTTGTCCCAGTTGGACAGTGTTTGCTCTTGCCAGGCCTCTGCTTGAATCTTTCTAGGGTTACCCCATCAGCCAATGTGAGTAACAGGGCTAATCCTGTGGCAGCTGGCACAGCCGCATGGTGTAAGGCAGGAAGCGTGTTCACGAGGCCAGCACACATGGTCCTGGCATCCCAGTTCAGGTCGATGCTTCCGGTTGGGTGTGCCTCCTGAGGAGCTTCTTGAAATACTTTGTGTTTCCTTTATACATCTTTTATCCTGGGTGCTCGGCAGTGTTCAATACCCGCAGAAGAGGGCTTTGTGAAGCAAGTCACATCTGAGGGGTAGTTGAGTTGGAAGTGCAGTAGGTAAACAGAAGGGAGGAAAGGCCTCGCTGCTGCAGGGAAAAATACACGGAAATCACGGCAGTACCACTTCCATGTTCCAGAACCTGTGGTCACACTTGCTGTGGCTGGAGTGTGGGAACTGTAGAGAGGGGCAGGGGTCAAATTGAAGATGTAAGGTGGAGTCAGGTTATAAAATCCAGGCCACGGGGCCGGGGAGATGGCTCAGAAAGATAAACACTTGACTGGCAAACGCAAGGATCTGAGTTCAATCCCCGGTTCCGCAAAAAATAAATAAATAAATAAATAAATAAAACCCAGGCCACATGTGACCGTGAGGAGTTTGGGCTTGTGTCAGATGGTGCTTGGGGCCCTGGATGGTTCCTTAGTGGACTCCACTTCCTGTCACTCAGGGGCCAACAGGGTGGGTGGATGGGCAGTGCCAGACCAGAAGTTGGTATGAGGGTACCAGAAACCTAACTCAGCAGTCAAGGGACAGCTGTTTGAGGGCTCCAGCAACAGATCATGGCTTTTATTGGCTCAACTCATTGTTTTATTGTTTTAATGATTAGGGTTTATAGAATATATATTATCAGTCTCCCTAATTATATATTATTTCATGTGTAGTGTGAGATGCAATGAAAGACTATAGTGAATGTTTTAATTTTTTAAACTTAGTACTGTAAAAGATACACTGCCATTACTCTCCCTCACACTCCTTCCCCACTTGGTCCACAGAGGGAAGTCACTGAGAATGCAGGACTGGCTTGTGAGTGTGGTATGGTCAGAGTTTGGCCCTGGGGGAAGACATGTGCTCTGTGTGGAAGTGGGGTTGGGGGGTGCTGCTAGTGTTGACTATCTGTAAGAGCTCTGGTGATACTGTCAGGAAGTCAGGCTGGCCTGCAAGAAGCCTGAGGAAAGAAAGAACAGAGGAGTCAGGTGAATCCAACACACATTCATTAAGTACCCACACAGTGTGTTAAGTCTTTATGTCCTCTCTGACCTATTCCACGAGTGATAGATGCCTTGGTATAACCCCTAAGGAGGCCAAGACCCAAAGCGTTCTTGGCCTGCATGTGGATGGCAGAGCCTGTTGGAACCTGGGACTGCCGACTAAGCCTTGAGTTCTCACCATAGCTGCCTGTCACAGCAGAGGTGTTCTCCTTGAGGCATTGGACAAGAATGCCACTATGTAGGAGGCCCCAAGGCCTTTCCACTGGAAACCCAACCATACTGTTCTAGTTTACCTTTATTTAAAAATAAGAGTAGCAGGTCATGGTGGCCCATCCCTGTAATCTCAACACTCAGGAGGCTGAAGAGAGGGATCACCTCGAGTTCAAGGGCTACATAGAGACTTGAAGACCAGCCTGAGCTACATAGTTAGACCTTGTCTTAAAATATAAAATAACCCTGGCCTGCCATGCCAGCCTCACCCCCAGGGTGCACTGAGACAGCAATTGAGACTGGGCATAGTGGCGCATGCCTATAATCCCAGTGCTTAGGAGGCTGAAATCAGGAGAATAACTATGAGTCCAATCTGTGTAGTGAGATCCTGTAGACCCTGTACTAAATTATATATATATATATATATATATATATATATATAATTTTTTATAAATATTTTTAAAAAATTTTTGTATATATATATATAAATTTATATATATATACATATATATAAAATAAGAGCTACATATATACATAGTAAAAATATCAAAAAGAACTGAAATGTATAAAATAAAAATGTTCTCTCTCTACCATTTCTCTCTTCCTAGTTACAGTCCCACTCCCTGAAGTCACGCCCCTGAGCAGGGTTTGAGGTTCTAACTCTGCAGAGTATTTTTGCAATCCTCTGTAGCATCTAACACACCAGACAGTAAAGAGACTGAAAAAATGGAGGCAAGAAGGAGCATGAGGAACATGAGGAGGAACTCAAAGATGCAGAGGGAGCAGGAGTGCTGTTGTTGAAGATCTTGAGCCTGGGTGTGGTGGCACACACCCGTAATCCCAGCACTCAGGAGGCTGGAACAGGAGGATTGCTGTAAGTTCAGGGCCAGTCTGGGCTACACAGGGAGACCCTTCAAAAATCAAACCAAACCAAACAAACAAAATGACCAGTCATTCAGTTGTTCAAACAGAAAGCCCTGGAAGTCAGTCACATGGGAGGAAAGCAGCTCTGGGTCCAGATGGAGTCAGTGATGTAGATGCCATCGGAGAGACAGGTTTGGGGCCAGGGAGATAGCTCAGTAGAATAAGCACTTGCCTTATAAGCGCAACGGCCTGAGTTCAATCCCCACCAAAAAAAAAAAAAAAAAAAAAAAAAGAAGAAGAACAGGGAGGAGAGACAGATTTCTCTTTCCTTTTTAGCTCAGTGAAAGGAAGGACACAGAGCTTTCTGACTAAGGGGAAAAGCTTCTTCCCTGGAAAGGTTCCTCATAAACGGCGCCAACAAAATACCCAAGAAAGACCTAGAATTTTTTTTTTTAATTTTAAAGAGAAAAATAAAATTTCAAAACATGATACTAGGAGGGTAGCAATGGTTAATACATTGTGTGTTGTTATCTTTAATGTAGTTATCAATGTTTAATTGCCCGAACAATATTAGCACAAACCTTTCTATTCAATGAACTTAGAGAAATTGGTAGTATAACTATCTTAACATATATATATA